ACATGTCAGCTGAGCTTCAAACCATGAAGATCAAAATGGGGAAGCGACTTGCAACTTGGTTAATGCTGCCAGATGCGCTCAATATTAGTACAGCTGATCTACAGTCATCTCTACAGTTTACAGAGAAAAGTCTGAAAAGGAGAAATTATCCAGTGAGCAGCAATTATCTGGGAGAAATGGCTTGTGCCTGTTGATGTCAGAGGAGAATGATTGGACTGCCTTTAGCTTATAGGAAGGCAACAGCAACAAAAAAAACACTCATTACAAACAAGGTTTGCAGAAGAGCATGTCTGAGTAGCAACAAGTCAAACCTTGAAGCCAGTAGCGGTTTTTGATACAGGTGACACGGGCGGTTGCCCGGGGAGGCATAGTGGTGGGGGACGGCATCACGGGCATGGGCAAAAAAAATAAAAAATGCTCATACTCATGCTGCCCCGACGTCATGCCAGCGCATATTGGGAATGCCATAGGCACCGATCGATTTTCTATCGGCCATTTGCTGGGAGTAAGGGCGCCCTCGTTTGCGAGGTGCGCCTGCTGCTTGCGGCACAGGGAGGAGAGGGTGGGGCGGCGGGGGAGTTTCTGGTGGCTGGAGCAGCATTTAATAACTCACAATAACTCGTCAGCCAAACAGGCTAGGACCACCACTGCTTGAAGCAGAAGACCATACCAGGTCCATGTGGCTATGACTGACACAGGCTCATCAAAATTAGACATCAGAAAACTGGAAAAAATGTTGCCTAAACTGATAAGTCATGATTTCAGAGTGTAGGTGCAAACAATATGAACGCATGGATCTTAGCCCTTTAGTTCCAACAGAGCATCATTTAAACCCTAGTGCATATCATGCAGGGCTAGATACATTTAAATAAATACCTTACATAATATTAGCACATATTCAGCAAAATCTTTTCTTAATCCTTTTTCTGAAAGCACTTTTAAAAATGAGCGATCTGAAATGGCTCATGTTTTATGTATTAAATGCAAATCAACATGTCTGCAATCATTTGGAAGAGTGTTTTGAAAAATGTTCATAGTCACAATGAGTATTTTCCATTCTGCGTACGCTGCATACAGTTCCGCAGCTTCAAGTACCCCTTTAAACTGAAAATCAAACTCGCAGCAGGCTTTACTGGGATCCCTGCATGGGATAATGAATGCAAAGTTCTAGTACAATCCATCCTCCCTTGTCTAATACAAACCACACATCCTGTGCAAAATCCAAATCGGTGATATGTAGGTCACTGTACGCACACTTTGGAATGGAAAGTGACTCATCATCGCGCCACACTCACACGGTCACACATGCAAGACGGTTGGACAGATGGAGATGGTGTTGATGCCGCAGATCATCCACTTGGGATCGCTGGAAGAGGCAGCTGACTGACAGCGGCACATGCATCGAGCATTTAGAGCTCTGGTTCAGATCTGTGTGTTTACCACCCACACGTGCCATCTGCTGTGACTTTGACACTCTCTCTCTCTCTCTCAGAGCTCCGGAAGGTGCAGAACTATGCATGTGAGTAACACTTCTACTGTGTTAGCTGGGTGACATCCATGGTTTGTAGCTATAATTCTTCTAGGGAGCACATTCGTGCCACTTGTACACAAGGGTGTTAAAGTAAAGCAGGAGGCCTCTCTTGAGTAAATGATGATGCTCATTTCTTCTAAATGCCCACAAAATGGAAGTAATTCTTCACAGCAGAGACGGGATTGCTCCCGTAGCATGCTGCCATTTTACAGACACCCTTGTGGCATGTTCAGGAATAAGGAGCCCATTATTATTATTTTTTTTAGCAGAAGTGGCAATAAATAATGCAGATTTTTCTCCCTGTCTCATATTCTGCTCCTTCCTTTTCAGCTGAGGTGATTCTGGACCCTGCCACAGCCCAGAGGAACCTGACTGTGACTGATGATGGTCAGCAGGTGAGGTATGAAGAGCGCAAATCCACTCACTGTGAGGGTCCAAAGCGCTTCAGCCCGGCCCTCTTTGTCTTGGGCCGGGAGGGGATCAGCACGGGGCGACACTACTGGGAGGTGGACGTATCGCGAAAGACGGCCTGGACGCTCGGCGTGGCCCGCGCTTCTGCCCGACGCAAGGGTGAGATCAAGCTGAGTCCCGAGGGTGGGTACTGGTGCCTGTGGCTGAAGAACGGGGAGGTGAAAGTGCTTGCGTCGACCCGCTTGCCTCTAGTGCTGCCTTCCCAACCCAGTAAAGTAGGAATCTTTCTGGATTACGAAGGAGGCCAGATTTCTTTCTATGATGTGAAGTCTCGTCTGCATATCTACAGTTTTATCGATAGCTTCAGTGAGAACCTGTACCCGATCTTCAGCCCCTGTCTCGCCCAGGAGGGGAAGAATAATGCCCCACTCATCATAACCCATGTTAAACACAGCTGAGGGTATAGTCAGTCGGCATTAGGTTATGCATTCTGTTTATATATAAAACATCTTTTTTATACACACCGCCATCACTTTCTCAGCATAATACTGGCTATTTTCTGAGGTAAATTCTTTATTGACTGATACATGTATTATAATGGTACATTTACAATTTATTTAAATGTAGGCAGTTTTTTCTTTGCACTATCATCTGTTAACTCAAACTTGGATTACAGTAAAGAAGAAATATGTAGTGATGTGAAAACATGTGAAGGACAATAAATCATTCTTTTTTTGTTTCTTACTTGATGATAGATGAGTTTGAGTAAAGCTGGCACTTTCCCTACTCTGTAAGTCTTTGTGTAACTGCAACTCTAAGGCTCAGAGAGCCAAGTAATGAAGTTAAGAGATGCAAACTTCGTTTCTAGTGATTTAGACTTTGCCTGGGGAATCGAATCAAGGTTTCTTGTACTTGTACCTACCTATTGTAATTAAGACTGTATCCTATGGACATTATTGTAAAAACCAATATAGACACATTAAGTGGGGATAGCATGGGGAGACCAGTGCAATCATTTTACAGCTTTAGTTACTGTAACTATTTTGCACATCAAAAGTAATATAAAACACAGTTATCTGCTTTTTTCATATAACAGAATCTGTATTAATGTTGTATATATTTAATGACTTTGATCTCCACTACTTAAAAAAAAAATGATAGGATCACCTGTTTAAAGGCCATGGAAAAGTTCTCTGTTTCTACATGAATCACATACTTTTGTAACGTCTACTGAACTTGTTCAATAAAGCTGATTAAGGCACAAAATGCATGACTTCCTGTTAACGAAGAAACCAACTCAACTGAATTTTATATATATATATATCACAAAAACAGTCATGTCAAAAAAATATTTACTGTAGCTTAAGTGACTTAAGCTGAATTTCCTGCTGAACTTATTAACCCTCTAATTTGGACTTTCAGGGTAACCAACAACAGACAAAGAAAAAAAAGCCTATAGGTCAAAATTTGAAGTGATTATCTCAAAATTTCCAGTTGGGTATCTCAAGTTTTTTTTTTTTTACTTACTCAGCAGTTTGAATCAATAAATTTGAGATAACTCAAGTTTTCACTTAACCATGCCTGTCATTTTATCAGTGGCAGTGTCCTACTTTTCAGGGCCTCAGACACACCCATGTTTGGTAACCTAACAGTCTGTTTTGTTTTTAAACCTATGTCATTGGACAATTCAAGCCATTTGATCTAGAAACTAAAAAATATATATCTTGTTTTATTTTATCTCACTCATATTAACTGTCCATTAAGTCACGACAGTAAATAAGATTACACAAAAAACATGAACTCTCCTGATGGAGTCATAACATAATTAAAACACCTGCACTTTTTTTGCAGTGGTTATCACATTGTTTACTTTTTCTTCAAGGGTTTATGTAGACAAAACATTAAAAAAAACTGTCAGGAGACTGAATTACACTGAACTTACTTTTGTTATAAATCGACAAAAGCAACCTTGAAATGTGAGCTCTGTCTTTGGGGTTGGTTAAATAGGCCTCTGGTATAAGAGAAGATAAAAAAAAAAGCCTCTGACTAAGGCATCCTCTGGATCCCTTTAGCTTAGCATAGCTAAAAAAAAATATCAGTGATCTATATCATGTATAATCTCCACAAAATATAGAACTATTTTAGTGTCAGCTGTCTGTTTTACTACACTTGTAATGTTGAACTTTAGCAATGCCAGCAAAGAGAGAGAAGAAAGTGTTTTTAGTCATAGACAGCATGAAGGAGATAGACTGTAGTAGCTACCGTCGTGTCATCCACTGGTTTCTGACATGTCTTTCTGAAGCCTCAACTTTGGCATTTTTACCGTCACCATCTTTAAAAGAATGGATGATATGAAGAGGGACGGGTTTGACTGTGAAACTACATGCTAGTTGGCAAACTACTTACCAGTCATACGTCATTAGCTGGTGAACAGTGGTCATGGTTAAGGCTCTATTTTGAAATATACAATGATACAAAAACTATAAAGCTTTATAAATCGACTTCATTTTTGATTCAGTATAACCAGAAATCAGTGACTGAGTCCACAAACTGTTTGCAGAAAGCATGGCCTTCTATCAGGCCCAAAGGTTTTGTTTGTTTTTTTTACAACCACAGCTATCGCTCTCTGGTGGCCTTCAGGTAGAATGCAGGTTTACGACACTTCCACGTTGACTTATTCTTTTTTAAAACCTGGATATTACATCCATGTTTTTATATGGTCTGTGCTTCTAATCTTTGTGCTAAGCTAACAGTCTAATATTTTTTTGTGTTTTAAATTTTGCCAATTTGAAAATCCTACAATTATTAACACAAAAAATTAAATCCTCAACATGTAAGCGTTCTCAGATTTTAGTGTTACTTCTGCTATTTTAATTTCTTTGTCAAACTCCTGAATTTGACCCTAGCTAATGTGCTGTATTCTCTGAAGACTTAAAGCTATTCCTCCTGGAGCTTTGAGGGTCATGGCCAGAGAATATTTGTATCTAGGTTAAAAGGAGACTGAGGGAGCGGGGTATATTTTGGGTCTGAGTTGAGTGTGTGTTTGTGTGGGGGGCGGCTGTAAGGGGCAGCGGTTACAGCCTGTCTCATATGTCAGTGCACTGTGGAGTCTCCAGGCAGCTGCTCTCTGGTGAGTTTCCCAGATCTCTGTTTTTTGTCTCTCCCTTCACCTCCTGTGTTTTTAATTTCCACAGGGTATCATCTGCTTCTCTGTACACAGACATAACTCTTAGGAGAGTATTGTTGTTGGATTTTTTTTTCTAATAACATTTTTATTCTAATGAGTGCTGACCTGTGGTATGGACTTTCTTTCCATTGCAGGCAGGGAATTATAGATTAAAATAGTTCAAGAGAAGACTTCAATCGTAGAGTTATAAGTTTGTATATTTTTAGGTACTAGGTGTTCATTTATCAAAATAAGAAAGATTAAGCGCTGCCAGCACTGCAAGACAGGTCATGCGGTACGCTAGTATTTTTGGAAAAATCTTAATCTGGTCTGTCACGAACACCTAGGCCTGAAGCTGCCTGTCTTATAGGTCAAACCTGCTTACTTGCAGCTTCACAGATACATTTGTGTCGCAGTGTACCAGCGTACAGGAGAGACATAATAATCTTTAGCTTGTGATATGGAGTTTGCTTTTAAAAAGAAAAGATTAGGAGTTAAAATTCATGTGATGATTCTATTAATTGCCGTCCTCTGATAAACTTATTATAGTTATAGTTGTATTTATCTATAAATTTCTTGGGTCAGAAATTAAAAGCAGTGTGACTATTACAATATGTGGCCACAAGAGGGCAGTATCAATATTTAAATACTTTCAAAATATCTTAATATAAATAATGATTATGAAAGATGTTGACTATGTTTTGTATTTAAATATTGACATATGCATGTAAGTTCTTAAAATGAGTCAGGACTAATCGGGACTCATTTGTCATTATTCTAAATGTTTACCTAAAACATTATGACCTGTAATTTCAAAGCATGTAATGATAAATGAGTCCCGCCATGCTTTGCTTTGTAGATCTGCTTGTAGACGACATCATTAAGGTCATGCCATCTAATCCTAGCGACCTCGATATCACAGCAGGTTTGATGACCCATTCAAAGGCTGGTTGCTTGCACTGAAAATGACCCTGCCTCTCCGCCGTGCAGGAATGGCCACTACTGGGAACCTTTCAGAAGAGCAGGTGCACTGCTCCATCTGTCTGGACGTCTTCACCAACCCCGTGTCCATCCCCTGCGGACACAACTTCTGCCAGAGTTGCATCCTAGGATACTGGAAAAGCAGTCCTTTGTATCAGTGTCCTATGTGCAAGAAGTCCTTCTACAAAAGGCCCGATATTAGTGTCAACACTGTCTTGAGGGAAATTGCAGAGCAGTTCAAGGAGATTAGGATTAAAAGCATGGAAGGGAAGGGAAGCAAGGAAGAGGGAGAAGGGAAAGAAAGGAAGTGGACAATAGAAAGGAGGAAAAGGGAGGATGAGGAGAGGCTTTTGGAGAAAGACCAGAAAGAGCAGCTTTTGGAGGAGCTGAAGCTGAAACAAGAGGAGAAGAGAAAGAAAGAGGGAGTGAAGGAGAAACAAGGAGAGAAGAGGCCACAGCAAGAAGACTTACCACCTTTAATCCCTCCAATTTCACCTCCAAAGACCTCTCCTCCACTGGCACACCAAGCCACAGCACAAGAGCCACCGCCTCCACTTCCCCAAACATCACCCCCACCCTCACCTCAAATCTCTGCTTCTCAACTTCCTCAGACCTTACCATCTCCTTCTTTCTCTTCGCTCCAATCTCAATCTTGGGAGGAAGTCTTGTGCGACGTTTGCCTTGGAGAAGGTAGGCCGAACGCGGTCAAATCCTGCCTGGTGTGTCTGACTTCATACTGCGAGGAGCATCTGAAATGTCACTCAGCCCGCTTCACTAAGCACAAGCTGATGGAGCCCGTTGCCAACATGGAGGACAGGATGTGTCCGAAGCACGAGAGGCTCCTGGAGCTGTTCTGTAAGAAGGATCAGATGTGCGTGTGCGTCCTCTGCACCGAGACGGACCACAGGGCTCACTACACAGTCCCTGTGGAGAGAGAATGGACAGAGAAAAAGGTGAGACAGATGCGCTGCCATCCAAATATAGGACAGGGACCAAATGTTTATCTGTGCTGGAAAAGATTTCAAGATATTTGCGGGTCAATTCTTGCCGGTTCATCAACTGCCTCCCCCCGGACCAGCTCAGACTTAGCTAAAGGAACTCAAGTGGAAAGATTCATGTCTTACTACCGCTGTTCTCTTTTTTGTTGGAGGGATAGTTTCAAATCCATTATCTAAAAAACCACTTGACCTAGGCCCTTCAAAATGTTTAGAGTAAAAAATTGGTATCACTGTTCTATAAATATGGACTCTTGCGAGTGCAGCCAGAGTTAACGTAAAATGATGGATGCTTGAAGTCACGATCGCTGACAGGAGATCTGGAGAACTGCAGAAAGCACAGTTATACAGATAGGAGACTGATATTTTGTTTACACCTTGTCATGTACGATTTACGCAGTATTTTTTAACATGGTTTAAATCAGGTGATTGGTGCCAAAGATAAAACAGATAAACTCTCATACTTACACACGGAGGACTAAATGGAAAAGCTTCAGACTTTCGTTAAACACACTTCTGCTTGAAGTGTTTGTTTGCAGGCTCAAATGTATTACTGTTACTTGTACATGGTTGAAGACTAGGATGGGACAGAGCCTTTCAATCTGTGGCTCCACAACACTCCAGTTTCATTTGCCAGACTCTGTGGACTCCTTCAAAAGGATTCTTTAGTTATTAATATGAATAAATATGACCTTTTTTGGAGATGCATACTACTGTATGCGCTGGAAGCAGAGCAAGATATTTTCATTGAATTATTTATGCACCCTCATTTCTCAGCAAGAAGTTCTCTTTTCTTTTTCTTTCTTTTTTTTGTCTTATCAAGAAAAAAGGATCAGCTCAGATGGCACCCAGTACACACCCTCTCTGCTATTTATAGTCAGCTAATTGTTCATCTTTAGTTAATGTCATAAGTTCACAGATTCCCACATTCAAAATGGTGAAAGATATTCAAATGATGGTTATGATGCACATTTTTCATTGTTAATTGTTAATCGTATCGTTAGTAATGCACTGTAGATAGATCAACCACATAAAAAAAATATTATGTAGAGTGCTTAACAGATTTATAAGATCAGCTGTGACAGAAATGACAAATATCTTTGAAATTTGTCAAAAATGTTTGTATACAGACATTTCTGGACTTCACTGGGAAGTCAGAAATTAATTAAGTGTCACATTTAACCCCAGAAAGTTGATTCTGTTCATTTAGACGTTTGATTTCAGTGGGAGAAGCGTTTTGTCACTCAGGTCCTGACAAAATTTTAAGATTTATGACTAAATTTAGTATTAGATATATCATTTAATAATAATAATGGATTGGATTTATATAGTGCTTTTCAAGGCACCCAAAGCGCTTTACAATACCACTATTCATTCACTCTCACACACTGGTGGAGGCAAGCTACAGTTGTAGCCACAGCTGCCCTGGGGCAGACTGACAGAAGCGAGGCTGCCATATTGCGCCATCGGCCCCTCTGGCCAACACCAGTAGGCGGTAGGGTAAAGTGTCTTGCCCAAGGACACGACGACCAGGACAGAGAGCCCGGGGATCAAACCGGCGACCTTCCGGTTACAGATAGGCTTCCCAACCCCCTGAGCCACGGTCGCCCCATTTAGATCAGGGGTAGGCAACTCCAGGCCTTAAGGGAGTGTCCTGCAGGTTTTAGATATCACCCTGGGTCAACACACCTGAATCACATGATTAGTTCATTACCAGGCCTCTGGAGAACTTCAAGGCTTGTTAAAGAGGTTATTTAGTCATTTAAATAAGCTGAGTTGGATCAAGGACACATCTAAAAGCTGCAGGACACCGGGCCTCGAAGCCTGGAGCTGCATACTTCTGATTTAGATTTAAATAGAACTTGCACATATTGGTGGATTAACCATTACAAAAATATAAAAAATATTTTCATAATTACAAGTACCGTTAATTTAGGGCAGCTGTGGTATAAACCTTATATTGGGTGGTGGTCTAATACATTTATTAAGCACTAAATGACCCCTTGGCACCACCAAGCTTTGACCTATTGTGCCCTTAACATGTCAGAAAGGTTTGGTGATACAACAGGTTCTGTTGTTTGTGAGTCTATGAGTTGAATTTTTGTTTGTTTTTTTGTTTACTTTTACTAAACTAATGATTCAACCTAAACCTTCCAGGATTTTAAGGAAACATTAACACGAACAACTATGCTGCACAGACCTCGCCTTGTACAGCAGGCTGGTCCACAGTGTCTTTATGATGTTATCTTCTCTGTTGCCTGATTACAACTAAAGACTAATAATCTTTTCACATCATCAAGTTTATAATTACCACAAGTCATGCCCGTGTGATCTGATACTGTGCAGGCACAGCTTAAGAGGACAGGAATAGACGTTCAGCAGATGATCCAGGACAGAGTGAAAAAGGTGGAGGAGATCAAACACTCTGTAGAGCTCAATAAAGTGAGTTTTTACCTTTGCATGGCCACGTCACAATCTACACTCACATGGTTGTTCAACATACATGTGCTTTTTGTACTTTCAGGCCAGTGCTCAAAGAGAGATTGAGGAAAGCATGCAGGTCTTCTCGGAGCTGGTGCGCTCCATCCAGAAAACTCAGGCCGAGCTGGTTTTGGTCATCGAGGAGAAGCAGAGGCAGACGGAGAGGTGGGCTCAAGGCCTCATTACTGAACTGGAACAGGAAATCACTGAGCTAAAGAGGAGGAACACAGAGTTGGAAACCGTTGCTCGGACTGACCACATTCATTTCTTAAAGGTGAGAGAGGCTTTGTTTCAGTGCTCAGTGTCGGGGAGCCAAATTTAAGTTGTGGTACTTGATATTTTACCTTGCAAGGTGTACAAGTTCATGGATATTTTTCTAATTTTTCCTTATTTTTTTCTTCATTTCAAAGGATTTTTATGGTAAAATGACACTTCCAGCATTTTGTTAACCCTGTTTTCCAGTGAAACCAGGTGCCTTTTACAGTATTCACTAATAGCTAAATTAAATGACAACAGCGCCCTCTTTCTGCTTTACACTGTATTGCATTCCAATACCTGCAATCCAATCAAAGAGTAGCTTTGCAAGTTTTTTTTGGCAGTGTTTCATAAATAATGCCCATTCTGACGCAACCCTGAGCATTTGAGTCTCTTAATTTGGAAATAATTCTACAACCATATTTGTTTCTTAGTTCAGAAGCCTTAAAATCTTTGTGATCTGTGGTTATTTGAAAAGAACCATGACTGTGGTCATCTTATTTTAGTCAATAACGTGTTTCTAAGTTGTTGCCCCCCCTTGGGCTGTATCTTTCTGCAGAGCTTCCCGGCCCTCAGCACTCCACCATCTGTTAAAGACTGGTCTGAGACCAGTGTTCCCACTGACACATGTGTTGGCATGATCAGAAAATTAGTGTCCAAACTAGAGGCGACGTTGACTGAAATGATTGACAAACTGTCTGACAGTGGTAGGACTTCCATAAACATTCAAAAATACCTTTGTTACTGTGTGACTATTCATTTTATTTTTAAAAAAAGTAAAGATGTATAAGAAACATATCTTAAGAGAATGTTGTATTTTGTTTTTACAGAGATCAAAAAAGTTCTGAAATATACAGGTAAAGCTTTTTTTACTTATTTTTCTTTCCTGTGTTTTCATCATTAAACTCCCCAACAAAATATATCCTCTGTCTCGTTCTTCTGCAGTGGATGTGACTCTTGACCCTGACACAGCTAACCCGTGGTTGCAGCTCTCTCAGGATAGACATCAGGTGAGACACCTGGGTGCCTGGCAGGACCTCCCGGACCACCCCGATCGCTTCGACACGGTGGTTATAGTATTGGCCCATGAGGGCTTCACTTCTGGCAGACACTACTGGGAGGTCCAGGTGGGGGAAAAGGATGACTGGTACCTTGGTGTGGCGAGGTCATCTGTTAACAGAAAGGGCAGGATCTCTGTAAGCACCACCCAAGGCTATTGGGCTCTGGCCATGAAGAAAGGCCAGGGATACAGAGCGTCAACATCCCCACCATCACTGCTCTCCCTCGACCCTAAGCCCAAGAGAGTGGGCGTGTATGTGGACTACGAAGAAGGCCAAGTGTCGTTTTATGATGTGAGAGCACGGACCCATATTTACACCTTTGAGGATACCTTCACTGAAAAAATTCTTCCATTTTTCTACCTGTACTGCTGTGACAAAGCCTCTGACACCATCGTCATCTGTCCTGTGAATGAGAAACATCTGATCAAGCAAAGCTAAGGACATAAAAACAAAAGTTGTTGTAGCTATACCCGATTTAATTACATGTGAACTGTAGCTAAATATGTTAATTATACATCCTGTGAATTTGTAGCCAACATGCTTGTAAAACACAAACCTCAAATGACGTTCTGGTAAAAAGAAACAGTGTTGACAAATTTTGTATTTCAAGATTGTTTGCATATTAAATACATTGTGATTTGATTAGCATTAAAAACTGGGTGTGCAGGAAGACAAATCATAACAATAGAGTAATTTTATTTTGTGAGTAAGTGCAATTATTTTCTTGCTGAACATTTAATGGAAAACTAGTTACTACATTAATGTAAGCATGGTAGAAACAGATCTTGATCTAAGTTCAGTTAGCTGTTTCTCTAAAGATTGCAGCAAAATGTTTAGAAGTCCCAAAATCTACTGACGGGAGGTCTTTTGCTCAACAGTATGTTACACCTCAGAAGTTTTATGTATGTTTCTGGGTTTACTTTAGCAGGACTGGAAGCATTGGTAAATGGCCTGTATTTGTATAGCACTTTACTTAGTCCCTAAGGACCCCAAAGCGCTTTACACATTCAGTCATTCACCCATTCACACACACATTCACACACTGGTGATGGCAAGCTACATTGTAGCCACAGCTGCCCTGGGACGCACTGACGGAGGCGAGGCTGCCGGACACTGGCGCCACCGGGCCCTCTGACCACCACAAGCATTGTCTAAAAGAAAGCAGTTTCTACCTGTTCCCAGGCCTTATGCTAAGCTTGTTTAATCTATAAAACCATACCAGGCATACAGAATGAGATAATCAGTTCAATTCAAGACAGTTTTACTTATAGTACCAAGTCACAGTTGCCTCAAGGTACTTTAATTTGCAAGGACCCTAAAATATATAGACAAACCCCACCAACCAGATGACACCCTGTGAGCAAGAACTTTGAAGACAGTGGGAAGGAATAATATTGTTTACTAAAGAACTGATAAGGAATAAAAGACTATCATGGCAGCCAAGAACATAAAAACACAGGTGTAATCTTCACACATGGGTTGTAGTATAGCCAAAAAGGACAACATTATTACAAATATTTAAAATGACAAACTATTTAAGACCCAAGTGGGTCCATAAAAGAGATCAACTTAACAAAATTCTACCCAAAAGCCACAACAAAACATAACTCAAACTGACCTGCCCAAATCTTCTTTCATTTTTAATGGCAGCTTGAATCCAAAGATGTTACACTACTGCCATCTCCTGGTTTTTACTGTTACATCACTTCCAAATCTTAGATCCTCTTGATCAGTACAGTATTTCTAAAAAAAACAAAACAAATAAAACAGAAACAATAAACCACACACTTCCTTTTATCATGACTTAACCACTCAGCCACCTTTTCAAACTACAATTTCTACCCTCAACATTCTCATTTGACTAACATACTTCCTGCAACTAATAAACACATATTCAAGCGTTTCCATAGGCTTCTTCTTCTTCTTCAGTCAAGTTTAACGGCAGCTTGCATCTGCATTTGCAGCACCGCAAAAAGTTCATTCTCCGGTTCCAATACCTTCCTGTTTTTTATTTGCCGCACAACAAAGGAATGTACAAAACAAAAGGAGAAGAATGGAAGAATGCCGGTCCGTACAAAGACAGACTCGACGAAAAGACAAAGAAAAGATACGAGGAAAAAATCAAACCAGTGAAAGGGTCAGACAATATTGTGTTTCGCTTCTGTTATTACCATGGTACATTGACAAAAACTATACTTTTATTCACAGGATAAAACAGTTGTTTTGTATCACTAATTGCCCAGTACAATTACAACATACAATATTATTGTCACTGCTACATTTCTGTAATGAACCAGAAATTATTTCCACTACTAATTAATTACCATTGAGCTCAAAGGTCCTATTAATAAACGGTTAATGAATGTGTATTTATGACGACGATTTGTGAGACTGGTAAGCTTACCTCTGTTCGTACGATGGTCTTTCGTTCTACACGGTGCATTTCAAGGTCCTGTACCCATCCGTCGCTAAACTATACCTGGGCTTGTTGCAGTGACCTGAAGTTACTAAACTTCATGAGTGTATGCACTCACTCCAAGAACCGTATAATTATAAATCTGGTGAAAGTTGGGCAGCACACTAACGTCTTTTGTCCACTCTGTGTGCTAGTAAGGGTCTAACCCTTTCACTGGTTTGATTTTTTCCTCGTATCTTTTCTTTGTCTTTTCGTCGAGTCTGTCTTTGTACGGACCGGCATTGTTCTCCTTTTGTTTTGTACATCCAACACCTTTCATTATATATACCCTAAAAAAAAAAAAAAAAAACATCGGCCCATAAAAACAAAAAATCGCCAGCGGCCCACCGGGCAAATGCCCGGTATGCCCGATGGCCAGTCCAGTTATGTCGTGGAGGCTGCTGTGCACATACAAAAGTCAGTTCTTCCGCTGTGAAGCCGACAATTCAGTGTGTGCAAACACGAAACGACACCACAGCACATTTAACGTCAGTGCCTGGAAAAATATGCTGCTCTTCGTCAGTGCCATCTGCATGGAAAATATAGCTTCCGCCAGCTGAGTGAAAACTCTTCATAAGAGGGATAAATAATTTCAGGGCAGCAAGAAGGTCTTTTCTTCTAATCCACTGGCTGGTGTCTTTCTGACGCTTGCATATTCTCACTGAGCCTGTGCCGGTTATCTGTGTAGTCCAGCTTCCTCCCACGGTTCAAAGACATCAGCATTAGGGTTAACTGGTAATTGGCTGTAGGTGTGAAAGAACAATTGTATAGGTCGTGGTCCAGCCCCATTACAGCTGAGATTGACTCTTGTCCAACCGTGACCCTGAACTGGATAAATGGAAGGAAATGAATGGATGCATGGGATTATTTAGAAGAAATGGCTGTAGTCTTTAGGTCTGCATTCTTTCTAATGGGCTGCAGAGGGCAACTGTCAGGTTACAAAAGGAGGTTCACTTGATATTTATGGGAAAATGACCTCTTACACTCAGTCTCTACATTTAAATTTTCTTAAATATATTTTAAAGAGGTGACCTTTTTTTTTTACTAACAGTGAGTTGCTCTTTTAAGTAGCCACTGTTCCTTGATTTCCCAGTCAGATCCAAGCTTCAACTTTGACAACCACTTTCAAAACAGTAAGATGACAATCGTCAAAATACTCAACTCAGCTAATGTGGTGGCACTGCAGGAGCAAAAACAGACTTTGTGCCAATCTCCTTTTTTCTTTTCTGTTTATTTAAAAAAAACAAAAAAAAACCCAAAAAGTCTTCAGTCATATAGATTTGGTTTTACATCTTTACATTTGGACAGGTGTAACAGCTATTCACTAACTGTGGCATATAGTCTCATTTTATTCCAGTACTACCTGTGGTTCATTGATATCCCTGTGTTGTTGTTTTTGGATTATCAAAACTAATGTGAATTCAATCCCATGTGAAGTGTTTCATTGTATTGTGACAGAGGGGTTAGGGTTACAGTTGGGGGCTCAAGTGTGGTGTGTAGTCTGAAGGTATTTCTATAATGCATAACTATGACATCACAACAATGTGACTGGTCACTTGTAACGTTGAACCTGGCCCAATGGGAATTTTGATGATCAGGAACGACACCAACATGGTGAGATCTCCTCATGCAACTGCAAATAAGCTAGTTTGAACAACTATGACTGACTTGGCATGAATCACCCCAGTCATGCAGTCGTCTGCATATTCATATTGTTGGCTTCCATTGAAAGTTTTGCATCAACAAATAAAACAAAGATTTCTTTTTTCTTCCCGTCCTGTTCGGTACTTCAGACAATTATTCTGATTGCTAAAGGCCAAGAAAGAAGGCCAACAGATGCAAATCTAAGAATAAGTGTGCCATGTAAAACACCACACGCTTTACACTAAAGTTTTGCTTGCTTATGTTTTCTCCTCTTAGAACTGGCCACAATGAGGCAATATAAAGTGAGATCATAGATTTATATTTGATTTTAATAAATCTTGACAAGACAAAATAACTCAACTCAACTTAACTGTTAAAAAATGTGCATACATGTTCTTTTAAACTGTCCATTTTTCTTTTCTCAATTAAGAATCAGTCACCTTTAACCCTTCCACTGCCAGTTAGGGCCTTGTGGTGACAGAATCTGGGAAACGTCTGAAGTACTCCAGAGCAGCAAGCCTCTCGTCTGACTCTAGGAGGTTTGACTGTCCCATGGCGTTTGGGACAGAGAGCTTCACCTCTGGCCGACACTACTGGGAAGTCCAAGTGGCCCTGACAAATGGCTGGGATGTGGGTGTTGCCAAGGAAAGTGTAAACAGATCAGGAAGGTTTTTTTTTCTTTTTTTTCTTTTTCTTTTTTTCTTTTTTTTTCTTTTTTGAAAAGAGAAAATGGATTCTTTGCCACAGGAAAAAGGTTTTTGGACTATAAAGTTCACTCAGCACCCTCCACAGTTCTCTACCTTTTCCCTAGGCCAAGGTTAATAGGAGTGTACCTGGACTATGAAGAAGGCAGAGTCTCCTTTTTTGACGTGAATGAGAACTTGCATATTTACTCTTTCACAGGAGAGTCTTTAATTCTAATTCACTTCCTTCAACAATCTAAATGAATAATAAGATCAAAGTTTAGAACTCAGATGAGTGCTGCACAATCTGAACATCAAAAAACACTTGGAAATGCACAATTTAAGATTAATAATTGTTTTTTTTTTTTAAAATAAACATGGTGATAGATACTGACACAGATACGTAACATGTATAATTAATTTTTGAACAAAGTGTTACAGTAGTATACTACATCAGAACAAACCTGGTTTTGATTGGGAAAACACTGGTCTGATCAACAGTTTGACTGGACATATATTTGTTCTTGATCCTATAAACTCATTGACTGCCACATATATTTTCATGCGAGTGTAAATACGCTATTCACTGCTGTCTTGAACTGCCATATATACATATTTTGGTTTTCGTTTCCACATTGCTGTTTGTTGTGTCGGTGACAAAATGCTGGTGATGGTAATGTTTGGTGGTGTTGGGTTTTGGCGTTTTTGTTTTTTCTTGTCTCTACATTAAAGTTATCAGACTTTGTTTCATGAACAGTGTTTCATTATAAACATTCAGCTCAATTTTTGTGTGATTTTCCAAATGGAAGTTTATTTAGCACTGCAAATGTTTTGAGCCAACAAAAAATTTCTTCCAAACAGCCAGCCTTACTTCAGAGTAATTTTGACCATTAGTTGTCA